TTATATATATTTTACGATTTTTAAAATTTATTATTTATAAATTAACTAAAAATATGTAATATTATATTATTTGTTTAAGATTGCATGTCAAAAATAAAACTAAAAATATATAAATAAAAAATATTTTGATAATTTAATGTATTTAATACCAATTTTTATTTTATTATTTTAGTAAAATAATTTCTTTAATACAATATTAATTATTATATTAAATACTTTTTTTCATATATATATGTATGAGATTTGATTTTATTTGACATAATTTCATATTTCAATATTAAAAATTGAACCAAATTGTATGATTCCAAAATTTTAAAAATCAAATAAACCGTTAAGTTACAATTTTCATTAGTTTTTAATTTTTTTAAATACTAATTTATGATTTTTCATACAACAAAATTGATTATTACTGACAATTATTTAGTGACAATAAATTAATTATCTTTATTTTATTATTTAATATAAATATTAATGACTAATATATAATGGCTAATAAAAATTTATTTTTTTTTTTTTTTTTTTTTTTTTTTTAACAATGTTACAAAACACGCTGGATAGTGATAGATTAGAGTTAACATTTTAAGAGAAATTTAAAATAAATAAAAAGTTAACATTGAGCAAAATAGTAACATTCCAATAAGGACACTAAAAAAAAGCAAATTAAACTTTGACTTTCAATTTAATTCGATTTACCCAAATTTAAAAACATGTGAGTCACAAGTAAATTAAGTCAATACAATGAACTTAATCTAAAAGAAAACCAACTTAATTTTAAATTACAACAATCAATATTAACTCATAAGTTACAACTTAGAGAACTTTACACCTTTTATTTTTGTTGTAATTTATATGTTTATAACACCAAAATCATGACAAACCTTTTTTTAAAATCAAATTTAAATCTTTATTAAAAATATAATTCGTTCCTGTCTTTTTTATAAAATCTAACTTAAAAGTGTTGTTTGGTGTTTTTTTGTAAGAATAAATTTAAGATGTCTTTAACATTAATTATCTTTTTTATTGCAAAAATGACCCTTAGTTAAAACTATTTATCTTAATTCAAGAAGTAATTAGTATAGTTGATGGAATAAATATCGCACTAATGTTAAATATAATTTTAAAAAAATATATATAAATTTAAGGTAAAGTTTACTAACTAAATTAACCAACTTCTTAGGTAATTGAATATTATAAACATGTCAACATATATTTTTTTTACACAACATATAATTATTAAGATATCATAAATTTCACGTATTATATAAAATCAATTTAGACTTAAACATGTTTGCAAGAAATTCATTCATTAATTATGCATATGAACATTTACGCTGTAAAGAGTAAATTTACTTCAATATATCCTTAAGCTTAAAAAAGTATTTTCTAGTTATCCTTAATTAATATACAAAAATTGTCATTTTTAAAATTTTAAGATAGTAAAAGTTAAAAAAAAAAGGTGAGAGTGAGATGAAATGAACCTATATTTATAAAAAAATTAAAAATGAAGAACATAATAATAAAAAGAAATGGTGGAATTCTTTGCACGTGACTTGTGCAATTATATAAGCAGTTTTCACATATGAGCAGCTCCTATTGTTGGTACTTTTGTAACCCTTTCAAAGCAAACACAGAAAAAAAAGAGAGGAGCAATGGCGACATCGCTGGTGCGATCGGGCTTTCTTCGAAGCGCCCTACGAGGAAGCGCTCGTGGCTCTCAGGTTCCCAAGAGAAACTTTGCTTCCTCTGGTCATCACGACGATGCATGTAAGTGCAATATGCTCCCTTTCTCATCTAGCCCTATTTATTTTAGGGTTTTAATAATTAGATCTATTGCATTAGGTTTGTTTCGTGAATCTGTATGGTTTTCGCGGAAGCGTGTCGTTTATTAGGTCAATTCTTTGTTGCATTTTTTATACATCAATATCGGTACCGGTTTTTGGATTTAAGTAATTGCTCTAGTTCCCTTTGATTTAAGATTTAAAAAATTTGCGCTCTTTTTTTTTTTATTGTTTTCCTTTTAATTTCAATTTTTTTGCGTTCGTGCTATTTCTCTGTTGAAATGGATTTGTAGTTTGTGATTCTTCTCTGCTGAAATGGGTTTGCGCGTTGATTTGGCTAGTTTGTTTGAATGTTAATACTCTTTCATTAGGTATGCTGAATGAATATTTTTTTCTTCTTCAATTTATTTGATTTCAAATCAAGCATTGATATTGAATCCGTTAATGGCGTTGTGTTTGAATTGATAGATTTAACCTCAAGGGATTTGTATTTGCATTGCTACATATGAACACTTTATTCAGATTAAATGAGCAAAGTAATATTATCATTTTGCGTCTCACCTCATCACGATAATAGATTAAGATTTTAGTTGTGATCCATTCAAATATTGACTTTCCTGTTAAGAATTTCATGTTCTGCTGTTTCGGGTTGAAATTGATAGATTTTCTCTAGCTTACTTGGATTGTACATCGCTTGAATTTTCTATTTGACTGTTTCATTTTGTTAATTATTTCCCTTCTCATTTTTTTTTCCTCAGATGAGACGGCCAAATGGGAGAAGATTACATATCTAGGCATAGTCAGTTGCACTGTTTTAGCCTTTTATAATCTATCAAAGGGCCACCCTCACTTTGACAAACCTCCAGTGAGCTTTCATTTCTACACATCTGCAGTTATTTATGATATTCGTTTTCTATCTTTTCTCCATCTACAATTCGTGTTTGAGTATACGCAATTTGTATTAGTAAAACAAATTTTTTTTTTTTTTACTTTTCTGTGCAGGCATACCCATATTTGCACATCCGCAATAAGGAATTCCCTTGGGGTACGTGTCTTTAATTTCAGCTTTGATATCTATATAGCCTTCCCCAGAAGTAGTTCCCCAAAAATCATTCCACTAAAATTATTTGGATTGATTGGATTTTTACCCGGTTCCTTTAGTGGTGGAAAATCTTGTTAGTTATAGGGTCCATTTGTTTATTTATTTATTTATTTTTTATAAAAGCACTTTTTAATTTTTAATTTTTTTACTTTTTGATGTGTTTGTCTAAACATTTTTTAAAATAAACAATTTACTACATTTTTTAAGAAGCAACTCCTATCTACTTCGTAAAGAATTGTTTTATTTTTAAAACACTTGTTTAGAAACACTTATTTTTAAGTTTAAACAAACATACCCATAATCTTTTAGCTTACTTATATTGTTGCAGCTGTTTGTATGGATATATTTGACATTTTTTGAGTGAAGAGCACCCATCTCTTGATGATTAGTTTACTGGACTTGGTTTCTAATAGGTGGTTTGGCTGTGGCTGTTTTTAGTTAATTTTTCACATGTTATTATGTCTGGGATCTTTCTGTTACCAATTTGTGATACATACAATGGTATATCGTGGGCACCAATTTTCAAAATTAAAAGTAGTACATTATAGTAGTGGTGCCGTGTCTTTAGCTGGAGATCCAGTGCAATTTTTTTTAATGTTTTGTTTTTGCATATTTGTTTTGTGGCATTTGCCATGCTCATCCTGCTTCAATCTAAGGATTTATGAGAAAATGGCATTCATTTTTTTAAGCATGGCATGTTCTTGTCACAATCCAAGTCCTTACTGGATCATTTTTGATTGATAACTGATCCTCACGTAGGCAAAAAATCTCACAAAGCAATAAATGAGAAGTGACTCGTTTATTGCTTTGGAGCATCTCCAAAAGGCTCTGATTTAGAGTTGTGCAAGTGTTTAATTTATATTTTTATGTGGGTGCTCCCATGACACAACTTTTTTTTTTTTGGCAACTTAAGCAATCCTCCTCTCCATTGATGCCAAATATATCCCAAAAGTTATCTCACATCTACCACACTATTTTTGTGTTTTCATTTTCACTCTTTTTTACCTTTATCATTGATAAGCACCTGATACTTCATACTTGTATACGGAACAGTTTGCATATAATTGGTTGCCACATCAGCTTCAACCTCGCAACTCGTGATGCAACTGTTGCTTATTTATAGAAATTGTTTTAAGGGCATTGTTGTTGCTCTTATACCCAGCCAAGATTTCTTAGTCACTCGATATTTTGCGTGGGTTTTTGTCTGTGTATGTGTCATTTCTCTACTTTTGTCTTGAAGCGGTTGTTTATGCTTCTACACAGAGGATTTTTACAGGTTATTGTTAGCTTATACACTAGTAGCAGATTTCTTCTGCGTATTTTGCCTTGCCTGGGCTGCTGCTAGTAATTTAATGATATTTTGTCTACTTTTGTCTTCAAATTATTTTGCTGTACTGAGATTTCTGGTTGTATGACACGATTCTTTTATGATAAGCAGGACCTGATGGACTATTTGAATCGAAGGACCACCACTAGGAGTATAAGTGCTTTAATGAAGGTATTTTTGGCACCGGTGGCCTTTCGTTTTGTCAATGTTTAAGAAATAGTGATGATTATTGTGGCTTTTGAAATGGGATCAAGAATTTGCACTTGACAACGGTAGTTTGTCATGTTTTTATCTCGTGTTCGTTCAATTGGTTGAAACAAAATAAAATTGTCAAACAATATGATGCTTCTTTTTATGCTGATTCTTGTTCAATAAGATTCTGAAAGAAAATGATCTTAAGATGACAATTATTTTATTTTATTTTATATCATATTCTCATCGGTAGTTTTCAGTTTTCAACGTTTCGATTGTGCGTGTGTTGGGAATAGGTATTTAGTATTAGCATCTCCAGTCCTTTAGATGATCTTAGCATATTGTTTCGATTATAAAGCTAAGGAATTCATGTTGGTAAATTGAAAAGGATTCAAATTATTAATAAAAAAATTAATTGCGGAAAATGTTTTTACCATTCATTTTAACATGAACGTGGGAGTAAATTTTTATGGTACTACAGTTTTCCGTCATTATTAAATTTCAACAAATGTAGTTCCATCAAGAGAATTTGTATTTGCAGTGAGCAAGTGATGCTGAATTTATTGTAATTTACTGTGTATTATAATTTTAATTTAATTTTAGGCAACTATAATTTTACTGAGTTTTTCTTTATTAATTTGCTATCCACCAAATTTGTCTGTTTGATGCGTAATAGTAACTGTGACTTAATATCACACGGACTTCGACATTTTAAAGACAGAAATCACTTGGCCAAAAAAATACATGCCATTTTTCACTTTTACTTCCATAAATTATACGTTAACAATGAAGCTTTATATACTGCAACCTGCCATGGACTCATGGCAAACCGTTTTTTGTTTTTTTGTTTTTTTTTTTCCCCTTTCAGAACCGATCAGTTTCATAACTTCAACTCTCACTTATTTCACAAAATTGAAAAGGAAAGAATTGAACGACCTATAATAGCTATTGTTAGAAACCTTGCTGAACATCAAAATTATTCAATGATGTGATGATGGGTTTTTGTTTCAAAGGATAGCAGAAAAATCTACCTACAATCTGTGTTGTAGGTAATTGAGTTATTGTAGCATATTGTTCAATATTCGATTTCTTATTGTGTGTATAATTTTTTTTTATTGAGAAAGACAATGTTCACTTCAATAATCAATACGTCTGTAAGCCGAAATATTGAAACAATGGTCTTCACCCTTTAGAGCTACGCAAAACATGGGATGCTCAAATGGTTCTCCTGCTCCAAAATCCAAATAAAAACTTCAGGGTATAAAATAAAACATCATTGAAAAATAGAAAAAAAAAGATTATTCTACTAACTAAACACGCACTAAGACAAGTGTTACTCCTGGAGTATTAGACAATGAACATCCTAAAATCACGACATGTGATAACTAGAGTTACTTTTTCAGTCTCTGGGCATGTATCTTAAATCATTACTGGTTTCTTTTATCTCTTCTTATTTACCTTTGTGGGCGACTGCTCTCCTAATGCAAGTGACATTCTATCATGCAGCCGTTAGGATAGCTCTATGCCTTTATCATTCTTCTATTCTGTTAGTTGCAGAGGCGCCATCTAATTAGAGAAAGACGAACTGCCTTCCTCGTCCAATGAACTCTATCTGATTTTTTACTCATATATCATCTCATTAGTATTAGTGTCAATTGTCAAATATCAACGAGACAAGAAAAGAAAAGACAAAAACCAAAAAAGAAAGACACAAGAAGTCTAAATTTCAAAATGATTTAAGAAAATAGGAAAGTGTTTACACTACGACTAGTGACTTGATGTTCCCGCATGATATAAAAGCCAATATAAGGTGCAAACTCGTTCTATTTACACCAGCAATTGTTATTAGTAGTAATGCCGTTATTAGTAGTAATGTCTGGTGAGGGAAAATTTCTTTTTTTCCCGTTTTCCTTTCCATATTTTTAGAGATGTAAATAACACAATGGGCGCATTCATTGATCGCTTGAAAAAGCAATTCAAATATTGAGTCTAACTACCATTGCTTAGCCAGCCATTCTTATCATGCGATGAATCATAAATGACTATGAATCTTACAATATGATTATAAATCAATGCCCAATTAAACACGTTATATTTTTTTAGTTAATCAATTTTCTATTTTCATTTTTATAAAACGGGTTTCACATTTTCACTTATGCACTATATTTGGCTAATCCATTTTTTCCGGTCTTCTAAAATAAATGCTTCACACACTCCCAATGAGTTATGATTTTATATTGTACGAATTCTGATCATTTTCTAATTTAAAACTGTTACATTAAATGCTATGTGTTATTTATGTGGTATATTTCAAAATTTTTTTTATTAAGTCTCTAAATCTTATAATTTGATAAGATTAATGATTCGCTATTAAGAAAATTAACCAAACGATTCATGATTTAAATTACATTCAATAACCTTTGCAAAGGCAATAATGAGAAAAAGGTCAATACTTTAAAATTTAAAAGTAATAATTATTGCTTCCATAAAAGGGTCCAGGTTACATGCGAAAAATAGCAAATGATTTATACAAATAAAACTCTACTAGGTGTTTCTAAATTCTTAATCAGACCCAGGAAAACAAAAAATACTTGATAGCATAACAGCCAACTAAAGAAACAATACATGGCTCAACAAAAATAAAAAAAGTAGGATCAACAGAAGCTGGATACAATCATTCTATCTGAATTATCACTCTGCAGCAGTAACCTCACTCTGATTGCTTTCTGCATTGGTTTGAGGCAAGGTTCCCAAATCCATGCGAGATTCTTTATCATCATGAGTGATTGAAGGATCAGAACTTGCGTGATCATTCGAGTTAGAATTGCTATCTCCATCTGAGTGTGCAGATTCTTCTTTCTCCTTTTGTGTCTCCACTGATTCATTTTGAGCACCACCTTCGTTTTCACTTGTCTTGTTCTCAACAGTAGCCTCATTCTCACCCTGTCCTGCATCAGCATTATTATTTGAAGATGCATTTTTATCTTCAGGAATGGATGACCCAGAAGCATTGTTTTCTGATTCATGACTATCATTCCCATTGTTGTGGTCATTTTCATTGCTGTTTGAGTCATTCTGGTTAGCATCACTGCTGTTGTCCGAGTCTGGGGATCTTTCTTTGTTTTGCCCGGATGAAGTATCGGACTGGCTAGCATCTTTGTTGTCATTAGCACTTCCATCACTGTATGTGTTGCTTTGAACAGAGTTTTCATTGTCATTCTGCGCAGAGTCGGTGTTACTTTCTGCCTTTGTGGATTCATCTTTCTTTTGTTCTGAGGAAGTATCAGACGAAGTGAGTTGAACATCATTGCTAGCATCTTTGTTGTCACCAGTGTTGGATGACGAAACATTTTCTTGTGCTTCTTCTCGGACAACATTGTTGTACGAATTTTCATTCTGGGAAGAATTATTCGTGGTGTCCTTATATTCACCATTGTTTGCATTGTTGTCATGTGCTTCAGCTTGCTCCCCCGCAGCACCTGAATTATAAGACTCTTCATTCTGCGGCGTTGTATTCTGCTCACTGGAGTGCTCTACCTTGGAGTTGCTTTCATTTTCTGATGCTTCAGTTGTGTGAACTGTTGTGTCAGTCCCATTCTGCAGCGATGAATCTAGAGTTTCTATACCATCCTTTGTTGGGTTATTCTGATCTTGCTGCTGAGATTCGGACTCTGAAGTGGAACTTTTCTGTGAATCATTCTCTGTCTGTGTCTGATTTTCAGCACCATTTTCATTTCCTTGGCTGTTTGTTGTGACAGTAGAATCCACTTCAGTAGTTTCAGCACCATTTTTCTGAGACTCTGATTCAACCTCATTCTTTTCCTTTTTATCAGATTCTTCTTCTGTCTTAGAATTTTCTTCTGAGCTGTCTCGTGATTTATGATCTACAGCACTAGAGGCATTATCTCCTGCATAATTTTCCTCTCTATGCTCCTCCTCGTTTTTCCCACCATCCTGAACCTGATTTTCTGATGAAGTCTCTTCCTGAATCTTGTCATGCTCTTCTCTTTGATTGGTCTCATCTGTCATTTCTTTACCATCTTGCTCATGATTTTCCTCCACATTGTCCTTCCCTTCAGTTTCATTTTGCTTTGCCTCTTCATTCTCCTTTTCTTTATTCTCTGTCTCTTCATTTTCCTTGTCTTTATTATCTGTCTCTTCATTCTCCTTATCTTTATTCTCTGTCTCTTCATGCTCTTGATGACTTTTTTCTTCTGCAGTTTCCCCACTTTCTTTGTCTTCCCCTTCACTTCTGTGCTCTTCATTCTCCTTGTTGTCCACACCGTCATTCTCTTGATGATTTTTTTCTTCTGCAGTTTCTCCACTTTCTTTGTCCTCCCCTTCACTTCTGTGCTCTTCACTCTCCTTGTTGTCCACACTGTCATTCTCTTGATGACTTTTTTCTTCTGTAGTTTCTCCACTATCTTTGTCCTCCACTTCGCTTTTGTTCTCCTCATTCTCCTTGTTGTCTATACTGTCATTTTCTTCACCAAATTTCTCATTATGCTGTTCACCTTCAGCGTCTGTCCTAGCCTTTTCAGAATTATCTTCAGATTCGTGGTCTACCAAATCATGTCTATGCTCAGAATTCTCTTCACTGTCATTTTGCTCTTGCTTTAGGGCCTCATCTTCCACACCATTAACATCATCCAGTTTGCTTTGCTCATCATGCTTGTTTTCTTGTGGTTCATCCTCCTCCTCCTCCTCCTTGTGCCTTGCATCTACCACAGAAGTTTCCTCCACGCGAGGATGGAGGTCCTTCCTCCCGAACTTAACAACCTCATTTCCAATTCTTTTGCTTTCTCTGAAGGACGATTTCTTCTCATTGGAGTGTTTGATTTGGTAAACCAGCCAGATACAAACGCCAAGTAGAACACATAATTGTAGAGCATGCTTCACCTTGAAGCCTTTGGATCTTTGACTCCTCCGGGGAGATAACCTGAACATGTTCAAAATTCCTCACCCTACAAACTTTACTTCTTTCCAAGATACCTGCTCATATTAATTCAATTCTATTAGGGACACACAAAATCACAAAAAGATACTCAGCATAACTCATGAGAGAACAGGACAAAATAGGAAAAAAACTGCGAATTTAAAGGTTGATCTATATATTGTTTGTACGATAAACAAAATAATAGTTTTATCAGTTGAACTAGTGATGTTAAAACAAGGTCACATCAATAAATCATAAAACACCATTTTTAAAAGTAATAAGATTATGTATTCACGTCCTAATTTCAAATCAATAGCAGAGAAAGATTAAAAAAGCAACACAACATACTAATACCCGGTTGCCAAATTCATATCAAGAAAAGAACATGTGTGTGACCAGAAAATGAATGATGATGTATGCACATGAACCCAGATCTATACTGTTTTTTTCTAAACAACAAGACAAGTAAGTAAGCAGTTCCAACAAATACGACATTACATAGTCATACATACCCGAAACAAATTGAGTATTCAACAAAGACGTGTGGTGGGAACAATGCTTACAAGAGGGAGTTGCATAACATGTTCTTCCTCCCTGCAATGAAAATGAATAAGAAATCACAGTTCACAAAATCTGGGTTTTGGAGTTTTTCTAAGTGGAATGCTTCTGGATCTGATCCCACGAATGGGAAACAGGTTTAACACTATTTTTTCACCGATAAATTGGCAAATGGGAATGCTCTGCATTTCTCGCACTTATTTATAGCAACTCAACAACGGATCTGAAACACAAATTTTATGTTTTTTTTTTTTAATTTTTTTTTATTTTATATACGCAAGTTTTATTTAACTGTTTTGTCACTCAAAAGTTAAAAACGACGCTGTCCCATGTGTACAGGGGGGAAAGCAATAGCACTTGGTGGATCCAAATCCGACACGTGACATTCCACAGATCGCGACCATTCACGATGTCGGTCGTACTCTTCCACCGTCCGATTCAATTAACGTACCAATAAAAATAGCTATCTTAATTATCTTTATCTTAAAATAAAATACAAAATTTCGTCTTTGCCACTTTGCCAAAGCAGTAAGATAGGATTGATTAGATGATGATGATAGTTGACTATGAAAGAGTAACGATTCTATTTACACCTTTGATTTTTGTCTCGTGAGATGTTGTACCATTTAAACTATACCCAAATACCAAATCATTATTTCTTCAATTTCGGATTAATTCTTGATTTTCAGTTACTTTGTCACTTCTTTCTGCGGTGGGTCTTAAATTTAATTTCTTTCAGAATTCTGAACCGTTTTGAATTTTGTTTGAATTGCATCTTGAAATATTTTCTGGATTTGGCCGAGATCCTTAGTTTTGGTATGTGCTCATAATTTTTTTGTTTCAAGTTGAGTTCATAAACTACTACTAGTTCATTAGTAGTTTTCTTAGAAATTTTAGGTTTCTTATTCTAGAAAATGTCTTAAAATTTTTCTCCCTTATCCGTGAGTTTGATCTTGTGTGTTTTGGATGTGTGCTGAAAATTGTGTTTACATTCAAATTGAAATTTGAAATTGGAGCCAAAAACAATGCATGTGCTAAACCAAACAAGCAAGCATACAAAGCATGTTGCATGTTCATTACATTTTAACCTAATTTGGTTGTCATTTGGAATTCAAATTTGAATCCGGTTTTTGGAGTTTCTTTTAAGTGTGACCGAGACTAGTGTGTGCATATTGTATTAAAAGAAAAAGGCAACTCCTAAGATAAAAAATAAATTATAGAAGAAAGATCCAAAAGAAAATGCAAAGACAAAGTGATTAAAAAAAAAGTGCTAAACCTAATTCTCAAAAGAAAAAGCCATTTAAGGAGTTTACAATTTTTCTTCTCGGTTTGTCATTGCTTATTGTTCACATAACATTTTCAGCTTACATATGTATTGAGTGTTTTGGTTTTATGAATCAATTCTAGAACCTTTCTTAGGTCAATTCTTTCTTGTCCTAGCCATTTCTTGTCTTGTGTCATCTATCTTGTCTTCTTCTACTCTACTCTTGTCTTCATTAATTCTCAAATTTCTTTGCTGTTCATAATCATTGTTTAAACTCAAGTGTGACCTATGTTTGACCTAGTCTATCTCCCTAGAAGCTAGTTCTACAAGGGTCATCAAAAGAGGACTAAGAAAAGGAGGAGGAAAGGACATAGGTGGCTCTCGGATTTGGCTACTAAAAAGCACAAACACTAAACACTTGTGGCTGGAAATTTTGGTGGTGGCTGGACTTGATCATCCGTGGAGATCCTTGGAGTTTAAAATTTGTTTTGTAATTGAATTTAAAAAAAAAAATATAGGATTAGTGACGGATTTAGAGACCACATTTTCCTTACTAAATTGAATTTGTTGCAAAATTGGTCACTAATCCTTCACTAATTCTTGGTGGTTGTTTTTAGTTTCTCTTTAAGCCACTTGTTTCTTTGCTGTTCAACTTTGTATTTACCTTGTAATTGGCCATTTGAAGGAGTGTCTTGGGTGTGTCTTTGGTACACAACCATCTCTCCTTAGGTGTTCATTTTCGTTAGAACTTGGTGAGAGTGGTCCTTGATTGATATTTGGTATCTCTCAAGCTCTCACCCTAGGACACGTTTAGGTAGTTTAATTCTTGCATTAATACTTGTTTTAATTTCTTTTATCCGCCTAGCATATCTTAGTTCACAAATCATCAAAATAATTTTCATTGAAAAGAATTTGGTAGAGATTAACTACAAGGGGGATTAGTAATTTTTACTTGAAGAGGCTTGGTTATTAAGTGGCTCTTAGTAGCTCACATCCCTCCAAAGTTCAATTTGTATACTTAGTCCTCCAAGTACTTAGTCTTAACCTTGCATAAAAACATTGCTTTTAAAACTTCTTTCATTAAAAGAAACCTTTCTCCTATAATGGAAGAATTTTCTACTCCTCAAAGTGATAGTAATTCAAGTGATTACAATGACATGTCAAAAGTAACACATGAATTAAGATCACTTAAAATTTGGAAAGAGCAAGAATCTAAACTTAGACAAAAAGAAAAACTTGAAAGAGAAGCTCAACTTGCTCTTTT